GCTTTGCTGCACAAAGATTTTTCATTAAGTGCCTATTTTGTGCCAACTCCCAGCGTATATCTTTGATGTGACAATTTATCTGAATTTCTAGCAATTATCTACTGTTCTTTTGTCTATTTGCTGGTTCACTAAAGCAACTTCTCTGGCCCTAACTTAACTGTCATGTTGAATGGCCTGAGTGTGTCCCCAATCTCATCCAGTAAACTCCATACAGGCAATATTGCATAGATCTTCAGTTCCTAAAATAATAATGCCATTTTTGTGTTATTATTATATACATACATGAAGAGGACATTTCTGTGTAATACCCTTCTGGGTAAGACTGAATAATTCTTGTATGAAATGGTTGATGTGATGTTTGAAAATCAAAGAATGCTTTATGAAACAAACCATCACACCTCCAAAACTCATAGAGGTCTTTTATGGTAGGATAAACCTGCCTGCTGTTGTATTTACTTGTTATTCATATAGTCGTACAACACATAGAAAAATAAAACTACTCTTCAGGCCATAGTCCCTTCTCCAAAGTGAAAGACTATGGCATTTACAACCACCTTTCAACACACTTTCAAAGCATGGTCTTAGGATTGATAAAGGTTAGTTTGTTTAGCCTAAAAGTAAACTGAAAAAATAATTGAATATATTAAGGTTAATTTATTTTCAAAATGTTGAAAGTCAGTAACAAATATTAAAATTAGTGTCCTGTTTTCTATTTGTCTGTCTGTGTATTGATTCACTGAATGATTCATATAATCCAAGTTATTGAGAACCCCTTTCTACATATTTCTCTTAGGGTATTTGATATCCTAAGAGAAATATGTGGAAAGACTTAGGGGAGAAAAATCAATGTCAAAGCAAGAAATCCTTGGACTTAACTTTTTCACTCTTACTCTCCTAAAGATATACCCATCAAAAATATAAGAGGTGGCTGAACCATATGCCCAATTTCCTCTGGCCAAAAAAATGATGAATGGGGGACAGAGAACATAGGGTAATACTCCTCCCATACTTTTCTCTCCTGGGGAGTAGAGCAGAAATCTCCTTTCCTACAAGAAAACCACAGGAATGGGTTAAGCATACATTTAGTCTTAGCTTTCATATTTTAAACAGTTGTTATTCAAAATGAAAATATAAAAAGTAACATACAACTCTCAGTCATTAAAAAGGCATGGGAAATCCACCACTAACTAAATTCACCAGTTACTCTATATGTAGTACTTGGCAAGCTACCTAGTCTTTTTAAACTTGATATTAATTGTCCAAAAGATAATTAAAATACATGTCTTAGAGAGTGGTCATGAGAATTAAGGGAAATAAAACAGATACCACAATACTGTCTCCATTCATGACTAGCATAAACAAGGACACAACCAATGTTACATCCCTAATCCCTTCCCTATTCCGAGTTTTGTTTTGTTTTTAATTGAATACATTTTTAACAGAACATTCAAACACTACACTAAGGTTAAAATGAGATGATTATACTCAGTAATACTCATTTTGATAGGATCATTTATTTGACAAAAAAATAAAAACCCAAACTTCATTTCTGAAGCTTCCTGTTATTGGAGACTGTATTGAATTACCTTAATCAATCCTCACAGAATTATAAGGTAAGTAGGTGGCAAAATATCATATTCCCTCTTTTATTGGATCTATGAGTTCCGAATCATATTTCCCACTTATTCCTCTCAGCCGGCAAGATACTATAGATTTATAGAGGGGAATGAGGCAATTAAACTTGAAAACCGCAGTTTCCAAGCCATAATTTATTATGAATATGCTTTTCAAGGATGTTAAGTTTATTCTCATGTTTATATGTCTGGGAGACAGAGTTTGAGAAAAATCAACAAATGCATGCATCATATACCTGCCGTTAATACTATTATAAATTATGCCAAAGAAAATGTTCGTGTGATAGCGGGTACAAAGTCCATGAGGGCTACGCTCTACTGTTCAACTGCCTCTGTTGTCAATTACCGCAAAGTTTTACTAACCCATTTGGAACACTAAAGGAGAGAGATAAGAACTAAAGTTACATTTCACTGATTGCTTTCTGGGCTGCTAAAGAGTACCTAGAGGGGTGGTTTGGGGCAACTGTTCAAATGCTTGCAGGGTTTGTAGCATACAGCTTGTCCTAGTCTTTTGTTACTTACTGTGTAGGCATTTATTGCAGAAACACAGTTTCACTATCATGGGCTTTCTCAACCT